AATGTAATTTTGGAGGCATTTTCCACCATTGTGCAGTCATCAGGCTGAGGATCCTGATGGGCAAAGATAAAGCCATAGAGTAAGCTCTGCAGCTGATTAAGGAGTGGCACTGCAGAGTCCATAAGGACTGCTGGTCTGTGATTACTAACACTTATTTGTTGGTAACAATATACTTGGCACTCAGAAGACAATCCTTGACAAAGAGCTTGCAAAATGTTGAGATGCATGGCATAAAAAGACTTTTACAGTCCTCTCTGTATATGCTGCCTTTTCATTGACTCTCATATCAATTAAATATGGCTCAAATGTTTGTATCTGTCTGGAAGAATGGAGGTTCTATAAGAGACAGATGAATGGGGGGGGAAAGGCAAAAAGTAAAACATAACTGGGATTTAGGAGAAATTTTCCTGAGAAGCATGTATTTAAATGAGTATATTTTATTAAAGTCTATAGAACTGTATTCATCTATAGCTTTAGCAGCCTGTTTATCTAATGTGAAAGTTGATTTAAACAGTTCCAAGAGTGGCACTTCGGATCAGTGAACAAGAAACATAAGTAAGCACTTGCTACCACTTGTATTACTTCAGCTTACACTGTACTTTAATTATCTTCAGAAAACATGAATTCTCAAGTCAGAATCTTTGCATTTGACAGCCTTCCATTAAAAATACAGCAAATATTATAGAATGCTTTAGTGTAGGGAAGCATTACTATTGTTTTAACATTACTCACTATGTGATGGGCAGCATCACCTAAGGAAAACCTTTTTTATTTGTAAACCGAATTCCATCATGATATGAGGGTCCTCTATTAAAACATGTAAAACCTTTACACACATACTTCATAATTTTGAATGGGCATTAGCTCTAAGTCCAGCACTTTTTAGAGGATCACACAGATGTGCACATGGTAGGTACCACTTGGGCCACGGTCCCTGCAATTGCCTGCTGAACCTTCCAGGTGCACGGCACCTAACAGCAAATTACGGCGTCTGTCAGAATACACGAGCCGTTCTGCACCCGGGGTCAGCGTCATTCAACCTCTCATCCGTGAGACTGTCCTGATCCAAATCAACACGGACAGCTCCGCCCAAAGGGAATTACTCTACAGGGGTTTCGTGAGGGAGATGCATAGGCCAGCCCGGAGCAGTGGCAGGGGAGTGCCCGGCCCGCACCGACCAGCCGCGCTGAGGGGACCGGGGGAGGCGGCACCTGCCGAGCGTCCCTCTGAGTTTTACCTCTCCCAGAAAGCAAAGCCCAGCCGCCGCCGGGCACCTTAGGGCACGAATCACCATCCTCGAGCGGGAGAGAGGAATAACTCTTTTGGCGATGGCACCTTGCTCCCCTCTCGCTCGACGCCCGCTGTCGCTCCTCCTCCGCGGGACGCTGCAGGCACGGCGAACGCAGGCGAACCTGCACTGGCGCCCGCCGCCGGCAGCTCCCCTCACCCCACTGCCCTCGCCCCCTGCCCCAGGCGGGGCAGGAGCAGCCGGGGCGCGAGCCGGCTCCCGCAAGCCCTCAGCGGCCACAACTTCTCCTTTTCTTTTTTTCCCTTTTCGAAATTCCCCTCTGGGACAGAGCTGTGTGGAGCAGCCAGTGTCAAAAGCGGTAGAAAATAAGAGAAATCGCCGTGCTTCTTACCGCTCAGCAGTGCCCCGACCGGCGCGCCCCCGGCTCCTTCCCTTCCCCGCCCCGCCACGTCGGCAGCGGCGAGGGGAGGAGGCGGAGCGGGCCAGGCAGCCCTGGCCAGCCCCAGGGAGGCGGGAGGGCTGGCTTTTGTCCCTCGCTCTCCTTCCGGCTGTATGCGGCGAGTGCCTGTTCTAACGGGGCAGCGCTGCCGAGCTATCCCCGGGCTCCAGGCTTTTCTGACCCAGCGCGGGGATCCGCCCCGGCCGCCATGCCCGCCCCTCACAGCCCGGGGCGCGGGGAACGCGGCGGGGCCCGGCGGGAGCCCAATGGAAGCGTCCGGGCGCGGCCGCAGGAGCGCTTCCCTCAGGGCCGGCGGCATTCCCGCGTCCGCCTTGAGGCGGAAAAGGGGTGGATTTCATAGAATCATGGAACACGCTGAATTGGAAGGGACCTATCAGGATCAAGGAGTCCAGCTCCTGGCCCTGGGCTGGGCGCCCCAAGAGTCACACCATGTGCCTGAGAGCGTTGTCTCCAAACTCTTGGACTCCGACAAGCTTGGTGCTGGGGATGTTTCGCTGGGAAACCAGTTCATTGCTCAACCATCTTCTAAGAGAAAAAGTCCAAATTAATCTAGTTGCTGAGATGGCATAAAAATTTATTATTTTCTTTTTAGAAAATTAATCGTTCCTCACAGTGAGACCTTACTGACCCCTAGGGTTGCGGAATGAAACCGAGTGTAGCTTTTCAGATACCGCTTGGCACCTCCGTTTTCGCTGTGCTTACAGGAAATGCCCGACAGAAGCACCCGCGGTGCGTGCACACATTTCCAGTCAGCTGGTGAAACACTTGGTTGAGCAAAGGGGTTTCAGTCCCTTCCCAGCAGCCTGTGGTTCCTGTTTCTGTGTAATTCCTCATACCCATTCCTCTTTTTGCCTCATTTTAAGGGGAAGCATGCCCTTTGCAGTGATGAAAGGCAATTCCACGGTTCATCATAGCATAATTTCTATCACTAGTCTGCCAACGAGAGAAGTTACTTTTTACACAGGAGGCAAACCAGCAGCACATTGTGAGCCACTGAGGAGAGCGACTCCAAGAAGTCACAAAACAATGCCCCAGTTTCCAGAAATGTGTTTCTCAAATACCAATCATGCTACGTGACTTAGACATTTACCAGGCGTAAGTCTCTGAAGTTTCTCATTAAGGTATGTGGTAGCAGACCAAATATTTGTAGTCCTACATAGTAAGTTTCTTTTGAAGGTCTTTCAGTGAGAATTTAAGTGTCAGGGAATCCTGGGTAATCTATTAATGTTAGATATATTTATTGAGAATTAAATCTAGAGTGGCCCTACGGATTTCTTTCTGCTTTTCAGTGGAGCGTGTGGAAGAGTAAGAGCAGTATCTTAGGAGGAATCATGATAGCTGGAGATTGTTTAGCCCCTGACAGATAATAATTTTGATGGTAATGTGGATCTTGCACTGTCATTTTTGCAGATTCTTTACATAACCATGCATGTCATAGAGCTGCAAGACATTATTAGTGCAAGACATTGTTAATCACTGTTACAACACAAAGTTATCACCTAAGGGTGAAATTATCATTATATGTACATGAATGTGGACATCTGTCCATTTGGCTATAAGGATGCATACATTTTGTAAGTTCCTAAACTACTTTCTTGAATTTAAGACTTTTACACTTAGCATTTTCTAATTTTTTTTCTCTTTCAATTTTCAGTAATTGATTTCACTTGTATTGTTTCACTATGGTAATACTGCAAATGGGTTTGGAATAAATAAGCATTAGGGATTGAACACTTCCACTCATCTCAGATTTCACTGATGTTTGTTATTATTCTGTCATCATCTTTCTAATGGGTTTCAAAAAAGATACGTGCCCTTTAATAAATAGATAACTATAAATAAAGGTGAAAAGACATTTGGCTCATTTTAATAGAACATGGTAGTATTCATGGCATTCACAGACTGTATTAATCTACTTCCAGTGGTTGCACTGTTAAATCTGAGTGGTAAATCTGAAGGGTTAATGGCATGCAATTAATGGTAATATGCTTATTTCCCTATTTAACATGTTGTTCATCTGTCTTTATAGTACCTAGGCATAAAAGCAATGCCAGTGGCATCTCATACTGTCAGTGAATTGAGGAGATCCTCTGGAATAAGAGTCTCTATGTTACAGCAGTTAATACACAGTACCAATTGTGTGTCTGGTTCTGTATTCAGCAGAATAATATGTAGGTTATGTTTAAGCAGTTCAGCTGTTACATTACAAAACAGGAATGAATATTTGTTTGAAGCAAGGTATTAGGATGACCTTAGGATTTTATCTCATCCTAAGGATGGATAGCAAAGTCTTTCCAGCTAAGAGCAGGCAATGGGGAGGTTTGTATGTAACGTCATTATAAGGTGTCATTTGGAAATCAGCTGTGAATAGTCTTGTCAGCCTCATCAGCATTATAGCAGAGAATTTTCCATATTCTGTTGCTTACTACCTATCCTATCTTTCAATTTCATTTTTGGATGGCCTCTTTTCACTTGAGGCTGAGAAATTAAATATAATATACAGAATAAGCCTCAAATTGAAAATGTTTTTTAGATGATTTCCTCTGCTTCCTGAATCATTGAAATATTAAATCTTGAATGTGTTATGATATGCTAACCCAGAGAAGTAGATTATAGTTTGGTAGTTCAGTATTTAGATCTCAGCTATGGTGGAATTTCTTACTAACATTATACAGAAATACAGAGAGGCTAGTTTATGTCTTTGCCAGGACAGTAACCCTGTGGTTGGGCATTCAGTACCAAAGTCACTGCTCTGTTTTAATTAAAAAAAAAAACAACAACAAACCAAAGCCCACTCAATGTTTCCATGTTCACTGTTTAACATAGTCACAACACTGCTGGAGCATGAGAGAAATTATTATTCCATTCCCATTAAATGTAAATTAAACTAAGACAAATGGTATGTTTATAAACCAGCCTTGATAAGAGCCTGACTACTAAACTGGTATAGCAGAATGGACAAAAAAATACGATAATGCTTATAGACTTAGATCATTATTAAGTTCAGATAGGAGGGTGTTGAATTTCTTTTTCAAAATAAGTACTTATTCTCATGTTAATTTAATGAAGGTAGAAAGTTTGTAAAAAGATTAATTTTTCTCCTGTTTAATGTATTGCAAAGCATAAAAACACGAAGTTCAGTAATAGAATAGTGAAGATATTACAGTAATATTGCATGTGAAAGGTACATCTGGAGACAAGCAAATGCCATTTCACAAGCTGTCAGTAGATGGCACAAACCTGTATATAAAAGTTTGGGCGTTCCTAAGTATTGTTACTCAGTAGGATAGAGTTACAGGAAGCTTTCTTTTTGTGTTTTCCTGAGAACTTTTCTCCTTTTTCGGACAGCAGGGATTTCTGGTGAGAAAGTTTTAATTTTGTTGACTTTATGCTGTTGCTAGTTAGCTGGAATTGTTTTATATTCTGTATCTTACTTGAAAATATTAAATGATTTTTATTATTTGAATGAGTCTTGTTTTCCATAGCAAGTGTACAACGTTCTTTCAAGTGTATGGGTAAGCAACGATGCTAAAGTTGCTTGTGTTCGGAATATTTATCCAAGGAAACTGTCCAAGCAGCAGTCTCTTTTTGTTAGCACTACACCCACAGTTAAGGGGGGCAGAGTGATAGCAGTAGAGTGAGGCTACAGTTAAGGAATGGGTCTAACTTGATCATGTGTTTCATCCTTGTGAAAGGCATGCTTGTAACATTAAGTTTTTTTGCTATGATGGTAACTTGTGACCATCTTAAGCATGCCTTAAGACTGAACTGTCTTAGTTAACTATATTCTGTGTATTTCTTATAAGGAAGTTTAGTCAGTTTATACCAATTCTATATTGGAAAAACTCTTAAAACCTCATTTTTTAATCTCTTCCCTCACTCTTTGAACAACAGGACACTTTTTTGCTATGCTCTTGGCTTGCCTACCCTTCTGGATTGCTTTTCTTGATTAAGCTTTTTTAATCAAGTTTGAAGACATGAGGATACTTCTGAATTAAAAGTGATATGACTATAAAGGATAATTTCTATAGCTTTAGCCCCCAAATCACAGGTTATATGTTATGAAAGTTTTTACTTGTGTTGCTTCATAGGATATTCTAAAGAAAATTTGAAGGTACTCATAAACAATTTGATTGAATGCTAGGATATATGAATGAGAAAGAAAATAAAACACATGTAGAAGAATCATATCCTTTTTTCCTCTAGTCTATAGATATTGCTGAAATTTTATCTGAAGAAAGAATAATGATTTAAAGATAGATTTTTTTTCAGATTTCTCTTGAAACTACATATTTTGTTTAATTATAAACACATTAGTAGAGTTGCCCAAACAATCAGAAGAACAGGACTGAAGATGTCCAAATGCCTTTTGAGGGCTGTGATACATATAATTTTTCCAAATGAGACTTTGGAAAAAGGCTGGAAAAGTTTGTCCATATTACTCCACTATTTCTAGATGATTTCCAAGCTTAGTTTCATGCATTCTTTATGAAATAACTCAGTGGACTATTTTTTTCTTTTTCTTTTTTTTTTTTTCCTTCTTTTTCTTTTGTATTATTAGATCGAGTGGAACATATATTTTGCCTCAGTAATTCTGAGAAAGCTTGTGGAATGGTTAGTGGTGCAGTGAATGTAGTCCTTGAAGTTGTAAATCAGTCCATCATGTGATAGCTACTGTCTCATTGTAAAGTCATTAAAAATACAAACTCACAGTTTAGCCCCTTCAATATCAAGGGAAAGTTGAAGTCCAGTGTAGTCATTAATGAGTAGTATGGGAAGCTTCAGGCAACACTATGATTTAAAATTAATGGGAGGGAAAGGGAAAGAAGAGGAAATAAAAAAATACTTGAAATCTGGACAACAACTTTAAATAAGACCTATGCATGCAAAAGTGTTAACCAAGTTCTTACCAGTTCCTGTTTTAGAGGGGCGGTCTAATGGGTTTATGCAGTTCCTAAAATGAGATTTAAGACAGTGCTCTCAAAGGCTGACTTAAACAAAGGGAAGCTGGCTACCCTAAATGCCTATATTTTGAAAGAAAAAGTGACCTCTAATAGGGAAAACCAAAGCAAAGGCACAGCTACAATTTTTTTCCTCTAAAGTCTTTTAAAATAAACCTCTCTTTCACAACAGAGATGTTTGAGGTCAGTGTCCTTAGATCAGGGCTGGATTTTGTGTACTGAGGTTCTACAACTGATATATTTTTGTGTAGCCTGCAAATATTCCCAGTGTATGTCTAGTGTTCTCTGTGTACCCCTGGCAAACCAGACATGTGAGCACCTCACTTTCAGAGTCTAAATTCAGGAAATGCTTAAGCTCAGACAAAAAGTGAACTCTTCTGTGGACTTTCCCAAGGCATAAATATAGATCATTCTACCCTCACCCGTTACCCCAGTTAAAGAAAACATTGATGATCCAATCTCAGCTATCTAAAGACATTCAGCTTTGATTCAGGCTCTTGAACCTCCATCCTATGTTTCAGTCCAAGTGTTACTGTCAAAAGTCCATTTTAAAATAATCTGAGTCCAGTTCACATCCTGTAAGAGAGAATCTGAGGAGAGAATGACTGTGCTGACCCCGATTATTGTACTTTCTAATCCAAGTGTATTACATTCTGTGCACCAGTTTAGGAAGCCTTTATAATACACTGTATCACAGCAGTAATTCTGTAAGTGAGCAGCAAATTTTAGACACCTATGAAATCAGATATGTTTTGTAAGAAACGGACTCATTATTTGTTAAATACACCATATTTGCCAAATAAAAAAATTAGTGGTTTCATTTCTGTTAATAAAGAATGTCTTTCCTGAATGATTGTAGAAAATCATTGCTTCTTGAATCAAACAGAAAAATGAGAAATTTGAGCCTTAAAAGAAATCTCTCTCTGGTGGTTTCTGCACAGCTGCTTAATAATACAGTCTGGTTTTTGATTGTGTCTTTTTTTGTTTTCCAACAGAATTAGAACAAGGATGGACAGTTAATAAAAGTATTGAGCATCTCCAAGGAAACAGAAAACAGTATGACACAAAATACGAGCTTTCTCAAAAACTTTTTTCTTTACAAGTGTCTGTTTGCATTAACTTTTTGGAACCATGTCAGCCTGTCTGTGGAAGATGAACTCTTTGCACCTGTTTCTAACAGTTTTCCAGAAGATGGTTCTAACCAAAAAATCAAGAGCCTGCCACTCCGGTATACAAAGAATCATCCATACAAAGCTAATTTTGATTGGGTTGTGATACAAAATACTACAGAGAGCTTGTCATTGTCAGAAATCACAAATGACAATGTAAAAAAATTGGTAGCTTTATTATCTAATTTCAGACAAGGATCCAGGTTACAAAATCTGACACTGACAAATGTGTCACTGGATTGGAATGCACTTATGAAAGTTTTTCAGACTGTATGGCACTCATCCATTGAATACTTCAATATTAACAGTGTAACACAACTGTCAGACATTAGAAGTTATGACTTTGACTATTCTGGTACCTCAATGAAAGCACTGACAATAAAGAAAATTCTAATCACAGACTTATACTTCATACAGGATGACCTATACAGAATATTTGCAGACATGAATATTGCAGACATGACAATAGCTGATTCAGAGATGATTCATATGCTTTGTCCTTCATCTAAGAGTCCCTTTAGATACCTAAATTTTTTAAAGAATGATTTAACAGATTTTCTTTTTCAAAAATGTGACAACCTACTTCAGCTGGAGACATTAATCTTGCAGAAGAATAAATTTGAGAGCCTTTACAAGGTAAGTTTCATGACCAGCCATATGAAATCACTGAAATACCTGGACATGAGCAGCAACCTGCTGCGCCACGATGGAGCCGACGTGCAGTGCCAGTGGGCTGAGTCTCTGACAGAGCTGGACCTGTCCTCCAATCAGTTGGCAGATGCTGTGTTTGAATGCTTGCCCGTCAACATCAAAAAACTCGGCCTACAAAACAATCAGATCAGCAATGTCCCCAGGGGGATCGTGCAGCTGGAATCCCTGCAAGAGCTGAACCTGGCATCCAACAGGCTGGCTGACCTGCCAGGGTGCAGTGGCTTTCCGTCCCTGCAGTTCCTGAACACAGAGATGAATTCGATCCTCACCCCGTCAGCTGAGTTCTTCCGGAGCTGCCCAAGGGTCAGGGAGCTGCAGGCCGGGCACAACCCGTTCAAGTGTTCCTGTGAACTGCAGGCCTTTATCCGCCTGGAGAGGCGGGCAGGGGGGAAGCTGTTCGGCTGGCCGGCGGCGTACGTGTGCGAGTACCCGGAAGGCTTGCGAGGAACGGAGCTCAAGGACTTCCACCTGAGCCTGCTGGCTTGCAACACGACGCTCCTGCTTGTGACAGCTCTGCTGCTAACGCTGGTGCTGGTGGCTGCGGTGGCCTTCCTGTGCATCTACCTGGATGTGCCGTGGTACGTGCGGATGACATGGCAGTGGACGCAGACGAAGCGCAGAGCTTGGCACAGCCCGCCCGGAGATCAGGGGGCCGTTCTGCAATTCCACGCGTTCATTTCCTACAGCGAGCGCGATTCGCTGTGGGTGAAGAACGAGCTGATCCCGAACCTGGAGAAGGGGGAGGGCTGCGTGCGGCTGTGCCAGCACGAGAGGAACTTTATCCCTGGCAAGAGCATTGTGGAGAACATCATCAACTGCATTGAGAAGAGCTACAAGTCGATCTTTGTGTTGTCTCCCAACTTTGTGCAGAGCGAGTGGTGTCACTATGAGCTGTACTTTGCCCATCACAAGTTATTCAGTGAGAATTCCAACAGCTTAATCCTCGTTTTACTGGAGCCTATCCCTCCGTACCTTATCCCTGCCAGGTATCACAAGCTGAAAGCTCTCATGGCAAAGCGCACTTACCTGGAGTGGCCGAAGGAGAGGAGCAAGCGTGCCCTATTCTGGGCTAACCTGAGGGCAGCCATTAACATTAACCTGCCAAAAGCTGATGAAAACTGGTCTGAGGAAATAGATGAAGAACTTCTGTAATGGAGTTTCATCTGTTTTTCTTTTTAGTGAAACAATAAATACGATTTTCATTCATTGTAAATGTATTTAACTTTTTCTTACAGTCTTGTTTCTAACTAGTTGTCTGTGTTGCCTCCTAACTCTAGTCAAAATTCAATTCACCATATTGCAAATCTCTTGAGATAGCAAGTTGCAAATTAATTTGAATTTTGAAATATGAGTTGAAATATTGTGAGTTTTTCTCAGCAGAGTAAAATCTGGAGCAGTTGGTATAGTCATGTGGAAGAATACTACGGCTGCTGGAAAGTTTGCAGAACTTCTTTAATCACACAGTTTATAAAGCTTTGTCAAAGGAGACCTTTTGCTAAAATTGGTTCATGTGAAAGAAAATTAAGGGTCCTGAGAAGATGTCTGAAGTCCAGAGCTCAGAATGGTTGCCAAATAGTCTTTGCTCAGATTCTGTAAAGATCAAAAGGATAGGACCCAGCTACAGAAGTTTGTGAACTTTGATCTTGCCAAAAACAAAGATTGAGGAAGGAAGAAAAGTTTTGGGCTTTTCTCTTAAGGGTAAAAAGAAAGATGAGGTACTTCACATTTTAACTTGGCATTGCAGCAAGGGAGAATCAGTGAATTGATGGAACTCTAATACCCCTAGAGTCCTGGTACCATTTTGATCCTGAGAGATACCTTGACCAGAGGGGGTGTGAGGCTGCAGGAACAGAACTGCCTTCATCATATTGTCTATTTTTTGAGAAACTCCTGACATCTCTAAATCATACCTTTTTCCCCCCGAGATTTCTACTTTTTGTCTTCTCATCCATATATCTTACTTTGTGCTTATTGTTAAAGGAATCTGTCCTTTTCAGCTGAAACTGTATCTCCTGTAGCACAGCTATGACTTGTGATCAGAAAGTCAATAACCAGTCAGAGTCAGAAAAAATTCCCAGGTCTTGAGACAGCAGGTAAGACTTTATTCACTGAGTTAGAAAAACAAACTACATTTACAATATTTGCTTTCCTTTACAGAAATATAGCAGGCCCCTCTGTCTGTGCTTACACTGTTTTAGCTTCAAAAAAGCATGGCAGGGCTCACGCAAACATTCACAACTGCTAAAGTTGATGACAGCAAACTTCCTCTTTGCCCCAATAAGGGAAGATTGTTTGAAATACCAGAGCTAGATGACCGTCAAGCAGGAAGTTTCCCTTCAAAAATGAATTTCAACATGTATATGAGAGAAGAAGGGATGTTATGATGAAATCCTCATGTAGTATAGAATATTTACATTTTATCATATTTTTGCCTTCCATTATTAGCAAAAGGTGTTAATTTTGATTCTTCTTCTTGCCTGAGGTCTAAGTATGATGAGATTTCTTGACCTGAAGCCTTGAACTCTGAGTGACTGTTTATGACCTGTAAAAGAAAGGTCAAATTTAACACTTAGCTCTCTCATCCCACTTAGCCTCAAAATTAATATAACATACCTGTTACCAAATTGCAGACATTTCATTTAGGACTGTGGAAATAAATGGTTACTTTCTGCTTCCTCCTTCCCCTCCAATTACTTCTTCAGTGTGTGACCCTTGGATAAGTGTAGATGATCAGAGAGCTTGTTTTGCCTGTCCCTTTTTCACAACCAGGGGCAGCTGGATTATGTGGTGCCTTGCTTGAAAATTTTCTTCAAAAGCCTCAGAGTTTTAGGCCAGTTACCCTTGAAACCTCTGCAATACAATTAACATCCCCTTGTTGTGTGTAACCTTAAGAACTCATCTGTCGTCTTCTGTTGGCTGGAAGACAGAGAAACCCTCTGAAAGTCAGAGGTGCACCAAGAAACCTTCCTGTTACTCATGTGGGAGCCATAGCCATTACCAGAAATTAAGGAATGGAAGGTTTTAGCAAGGCAAGCAAGGTTTTTTTGCCACTTTGGATAGAACTTGGAATTGTGTGACCTCAGGAAATGTAGATGATGTTATGATAAGCAGAGCAATTACACTTCTGTGCTATTATAGGTTTCTGGATTCCAAAATCGTTGAGTGAATAAATTGGAAAGGGTGGCTTTTAATGAGCATGGGCATCAATTAAAATTTGTACTTTGGAACCAGAAGCCCACATGCTATTATCTTCTTTCCATATGTGCCAAATAATTGATAAAACAGCTAAACATGCAATGAATTATTAGAACTAGTTTCTCTGATTCCACAAGAGACAACGAGTTTCTCAAGTGTTATTAGAATATTTCTAACAATTATCTCAGCCTCTGTCATACTGTCAACCCTTTCTATAAAACCAGCTTTAATCCATGAAGAAATTTTTCCATGTTCATGTGTTGTCTCACAGCACGTCTCACAGCACATGAGCCAGTTTATCTGCACATTTTGGAAAGAGACTAACTTTTCTGTGCAGCCTGGAGATGTTTGCCTGCATTTGGTGCTGCACTGAAATGTCTAACTGCTGCTGCACTCCAGTTATCAGGAAAAGGGAGTGTGTAAATATGTTCTGATGTCAGATACTGTATCAGAGCAGATTCCTGGCATTGGACTAGTCATCTTGGTGACTAGCAGGAATGGTATTTTCACATACATAAAAATATCAACATACAAAACTGATAACATTAAACACCCTCCAAAACCTAAAAAATGTGCAGAATCAAGTGAAAGTGTAAAAGTTTTTTATGTATGTTTAAGCAGTGTGTAGTATAAAGGAAACTGAACTGTGGCAGACAGGGAGACTTGACACAATGTAGGTTGCCCTGCTGAGAGCTCAGCTCTTCTTCAGCTTTAGAAATGTTACAAAACATCTTCACTGAAGTTCAGCTGCAGAGAGTTAGAGGAAGGAAGGGCACTCAAGGGAAAATAATGACACTCTGTGGGAGATTCTGCTGAGCAGAAGGTTCAAAACTTCTGTGAAACCCATGTTTACTCAGGGCTTTGGTTAGTCTGTTTTTTCTTTTGGAAATATTTGCTCAGATTGACTATAATACTCATTTTTGTTTTGTCAAAAGAAAGCAGTATTTATAATCAATAAATGAGAAAATTGTGTGTCCTGCAAGGTGGCTCTGGGTTACCAATTTGATTTCCACAACTTTGATCCTTGTGTCTATTTATATCAAAGCAAAATAGACTTGAGCATCAATGTGATACAGTCCCTGCTCACTTTGACTTGTGGTGGCATTTAGCCTTTGTTTCACCTACTTGACGTACAGCTGATAGTGACAATTACAGTTAAACACTGATGTGACCAAACACCAGTTTTGCAAACCTTTAATTATTTTATTAACTTTCCATGAGTACTTTGGTGAGTTCATCTGCTGTGATTATGCTTTAATCCCATGTCTTGCACATGTAAGATCCCTTCTGCAGTTCTTATCAGAGAGATTCTTCACATTTTTGGCATGGTGCTGGTCCTGTATAGCTTTTCATGCCTGGCCAAGGGTAGCTGTGATTCCTCTCTGGGTAACTAATGGTGACATACAGGCAGAAGTGTGAAATGGCTTTTTGTGACCATTGCTAGAGCAAACTACAAAAACCCCCAGTGGTGTAAAATTCAGAAATGGAACAAAGTATCTGCATGAACATATGGAAAAGATGGTATGTAGCTGGTACATTTTAAGATGCATGAGCAAAAATAAATTGCTTTCAGTTTTTGCCTGTCATGAAAAGTGACTGAATCACTAAACTGAAATCAGCCCCAAAAAAAACTTCGTTGAATTGGTTAGTAAAAAAATTATGCAAGGTTCTTAATGGTTTAACAGAGGTATTCAGGAGTATCAGTTTTATTTTAACCAATTGCAAATTTTTCTTTATGGCAAACTGTTTATTTGGATGTATTTTAAAACTTCATAAAGAAAGGTGGTAAGAAAATGAAACATACTACAACTAAAAGCTGGTTTTAATTGCTGTGTGTGCACTAGAGTCAGTTCTGATGAAAGCTGATGATGTATTTGATTTTACCATGCAGCTAATATTTTTTCTATGAATTATATTCAAAGTAAGCAGTAAAGCTTCTACTGTTTTGCCTAATTGTGATATCTCTGTTCTGTCAACAAGTGCCTTACTCTATTCAGTATCATGGATTAATGCCTAGCAATAGGAGCATCTCTTTTAACTTGAAGTCTAGATGATATCAGCTGGCAAACACTCTTGCTGCTTATTGAGAAACATTCATGATCCCAGGTCTTGTCTTGGGTCACAGATGTTGATTTTCTCCCAGGCTCATGTGCCTGTTCACAATGCTAACTGAATGGCTGCTTTCTTGGATTCCTTCAGCCCCAGATTGCCCTATATTGTCATATTCTTTGTGGCTTCATTACACCTGTCTTGTCATAGGGAATATTCTCTGTTGATTTTTATAAGTTTTTGGAGGAAGCCACAATGCGAGGTATCCTTGATAACCATTCTAGTGTAAAGATGATTGGCCTGTAAAGGTTTTTAACTGTGCCAGTTTGCCCCTGTTACTAGCTTTTGAGATATAAACTTCTGTCATCCATCAGTGTGCTACATTAATTACGCTCCTTGATGAGCAAAAAACTTTGGTAGGGTAGAGCTTTGCAAGAGATCTTTGTATGAACAAAAACTGGCAGTGAGGGTTCTGCTTCCTCTTTTCTGTGTGTGCAAAGAGGAGATGCAGTTGACAGATTTCTAGAACACCTGTGTAACATCAGAAGCAGACTTGAAATTAGAAATGCAGAATTATTTGAACGGTCTTGCCAATCTATACTACAGATAGGTTTATTTCCTCCTAAACCAGATAGTTATGCAAATATTACAGAAGTAAATGCATTTTTAGTCTGAGCTGCTAAAAGTTTCCTTAAGTGCTCTTAGTACCTGCATTGTAAGGTATATACCTGTTTCATTAATTCCTTGAATTGTATAGCCTGTTTAAATAAAACCTGTTTTTTTTGCTTCCTGGGGTAGGTAATTATTGAGGAATCAGCATCTCATGTGAGATTCCCCACCTTGAAGATTACATATGTTTGAAATTCTACTTCAGGCATGCTAACCAAATATGCAGAGGACTTTTTCTGGTTCTTCAACTTGGAGATAAATTCCATGCAGAAAAGGTGGGTTATATTTGCTTCATTATTTATAATTATTTTCTCTTTGTTATATATATATATATATCTTCATCAACTCTCAGGTGCTGGTGTTTCTTTGCTGTTGGAAGATACTCTTACATTTTGAAGTTTCAGTGAAAACACTCATCTGAATTTCAGCAAAGAGGAAGGGGAGAAAAATCATTTGGTATGGCAGTTGTAATTCTCAGCCAACTCTAATTTAATACCATTCTAAATCAGCATTGGAGAGGTAACCCTTGATCCTTACTATTGCTTTTCTAGACATATTTGCTTTACTCTGACTGCAGCACTCCACAGGGCTATAGAGTGTGACTCATCTCTTGTTGCAATGTCTAGCATAGCATGTACAGTAAATTAAAACTCATCTGGTGCTGGAACATAGACAAAGAATATATTTCTATTTTTTTCTCCCTTCAGAACATTTCTTGCTTTATTACTGACATCCCTTTTGTCCAAGAGGAAGTTTCTCAAGATAGTGCTAGATAAAGCTTATTTGATTCAAGAGTTAAGATTGCTTATCAGCTTGGACTCTGAGGAATGGAGCTAACTGGGCTTTGAAGGAGCTGGGTCAGATTTCCTTGTCTTGTTTTGTCTTGCAATTCATATTGTCCTTTGACCAACCATCCCAGCTTAATTTCTTTTGTATCCTCAGATACCCTAGCACAGCTTTCTGAAGGTGTAATTTGACCTCTCTATCGGATTTGATAGCGTTAGAAATACTTTAGTGATTTCTTCTTTTATTGCTTTTGGTGATGTTAATTGCATATATTTTTGCTTTACTTAATTGAGAAAAAATTTATTAAGTCTGATAGGAAGCTTGGATGGGAAGTGTTGAGTTTTGGTATCAGTTAGTCAAATTATTAGGCACTAACACATAATCTAGAACTGAAAAAAATCGGGTTTTGGTTTCTATTTAACAAAAAATTACACAGGGACAGAATTTTAAAACTTTGGGGTTTTAGATCTTTTTAACAGAAAAAATCAGAACAGAAAATACAGCTGGAGATGTTTGTCTCCTGAAACAATTTGACAATATTGTTGTTGAGTGATTTGCTCAATATGAGTTGCTTATGCTTCATATTGTCTGTGTGTTTTGTTTAATGCTTGACAACGAGAGAGTAATGCCCAGGTCATGGTTTTTCAGAAAAGGACTGATGCCTCTCCAAGTCCATGAAGGCTATTGATAGGCATGACCAGATATTAATTCAGCTGGACCCTGTCTACAAAATCCTTTCCTCCTTGGGTTTTTGATACTTAGTACTAGATTAATTATCCCTCACTATTTTTAGAGAGGTTCACTGTCAAGTTCCAATCATAGGAAAATATAGAAAATTTCATAGGACACCTAGGAAATTCTGGAGTCTTTGGCAATGTCTGTTTTCTTTCAGATTTTGGGTATCACTGCTTCATACATAGTCCAGTCATGGTGTGGTATTACCATTAGTATGCTTTTGGTCAGACTGGTGTAAAAATATTCATTTGTGTGGAGTATGGATGGTTGACCCTGGCAGAGTACTAGCTGTCCACCCAAGCCATTGCATCGCTCCCTTCCTCAACTGGACAGGGAAGAAAATATAAAATGAAAGGCTTGTTAGCCAGATAAGGGCAGGGAGAGATCACTCACTCATCCATTACTGTCACAGGCAAAACAGACTCAACCTGGGAAATTAATTTAATTTATTACAATTTAATCAGAGTAGGATAATGAGAAATAAAACCAAATCCCAAAACACCTTCTTCCCAGACCTCCCTTGTTCCCTGGGCTCAGCTTCACTTCTGAATGCTATATCTCCTCTCCCAATGGCACTGGGGGTCAGGGAATGGGGCCTGTGGTCTGCTCATCGCTTGTTATTTTCCCACTTTTTCCTTCTCACTCTGTTCCCCTGCTCCATCCTGAGGTCCCTTCCACTGGAGATAGGTCTCCACAAAGTTCTCCAACATGAGTCCTTCCCACTAGCTGCAGTTCAAGAACTCTTTAGCACAGATCCTTTCCATGGGGCACAGTCCTTCAGGCTGCTCCAGCATGGGTCCTCCATGAAGTGACAGTCCTGTCAGCAAACCTACTCCAGGGTGGGCTCCTCTCTCCACAGGACAACAGGTCCTGCCAGGAGCTTGCTCCAACATGGGTCTCCCATGAGGTCACAGCCTCCTTCAGGCATCTACATGCTCCAGCATGGGCTCTTCCATGGCTGCAGGTGGGTCTCTGCTGATCGTGGACCTCCATGGGCTGCAAGGACAGAGCTTCCTCAGAGGAATCTCTGCTCCAGCACCCAGAGCACCTCCTCCCCCTCCTTCTGCACAGACCTTGGTGTCTGCAGAGCTGTTTCTCCCATATCTTCTCACTCCCCTCTCCCAGCTGCAGTTGCTGTTCCCCAGGGCTTTTTCCCCTTCTTCATGGTGTTATCCCAGAGGCACTACTAATGTTGTGGATGACCTTGGCCCTAAATCCAGCTTAAAGCCAGTAGCTGGATTTATAGAGCACAGAGGAAGCTTCTAGCAGCTTCTCAGAGAAACCATACCAGTAGTCCCCCTTCTACCAAAACCTCACTGCACAAACCCAATGCAATGGACAGTATAATTCCTCTTCAGAATTCTTGGCTTACTGGAAAAATGGACTCTTATGTCTTTGTGCTATAGCAAGGATAAAGCTGATGATCTGACCCTGAGAGGGTGCATGGCAATAGCCAGGGTCTTTGGAGTGTGGAGAAGAATATCCTTTGAGTGAAGAGGTTGTTTTTGCACCAGTTGCTGTGAGGGTGGTTTTATTGGAGTTTTGTTCCCAAATGTGCATGAATTTGGGATGTATAGAAACAGCAGATGGATCGGTTGTTTAATTCTCCTTTATTTATAAATGCATTGATATTGGTTTGTACCAGTTTTGCATTCTTTTGTGATTGTTGAGAAATTTGTATTTTTTAACATCTATGTTATTTTTAACATACCAGTGGCATCCCGCCCCCATTATTAAGAGAAGTAATTTATATTTGACTGAGTCAATAATTAGAGTTAAAGAATGGGAGTGAGGACTATTGATAAGGACTGAAAACAAGAGTATGTAAAAATATTTTTTTATTACATAGATTGTATATTGTATTTTATTTTCACAATAAAAAAACAACTTCAACCATTCAACAGCTTCATTAAATTTCATGTATTTTTTTTTTCATAGGGCTGGACTCATCAGGGAGACATATTATACAGAAAACAAAGATATGCTTCCGTGTTTCTGTAAAAAAACAAGATAAAGCTGGATAGCATAATGAGCTCCCTCACAAATATCTATGTTTTTACTTGTGCCTTTACCTTCACACTATGGAACAATATCCAGCCAACTGTAGAAGATGAATTTATTGCAAATTATTCAAGCAGTTTGCTAACTTATGTTCCAAAAATCATTCCAGCCCATACTCGGGTATTAGATTTATCACATAATAGGATCTCTGGACTTAGTATCTCAGAATTTATTTATTTTTCTGACCTTCAAGTATTAAATATTTCTTATAATATAATTACAGTGCTTGACTTTAGTGTCTTTATTTTTAATGAAAATTTAGAATACTTAGATTTATCTCATAATAACATTTCAAAAGTTTGCTGTCTCACTCTTGCATATCTTAGACATTTAGATCTTTCTTTCAATAAGTTTACTGCCCTGCCCATGTGTCAGGAATTTGGGAACATGTTTCATTTGGAGTACCTTGGATTAACTGCTACAATGATACGAAGGTCAGACTTCAGGTATATCAAACATTTGCAGCTGCACACTGTCTTCCTGACCTTAAGAAACTTTTCATTGTATGAGCCTCAGAGTCTGACAGTCTTGACCACAAGGAACCTCCACATTGTTTTTGCAGCAAACCAAAACTTCATTTTTCCCCTCTTGTATGATGGAATGAGCACTTCAGAAAACTTAAAAATAGTTAACTTAATATATACCTTGAGCTACAAAGATTTCCCTGCTCCGCCTTTAATGCTTCTGAAAAAAATCAAGACAACAGCTCTCACGCTTGAGGCTGTGGACTTAAAATGGGCTATCATCCTGCAAATTTTCATGCTTATTTGGTATTCACCTATGGAACATTTGACTGTGAGAAATTTGACTTTTCGGGGTCCACTGGAGGAGCCAAATGAATATGCATTTCTACCCTTATTAAGCTCTGTAGAACATTTAATTTCTTTGGATGGCTCCATGAAAACATTAACTTTGGAGCATGTTCGTAATAAAGTTTATTATTTCAACCAGGAGATTCTATACAGACAGTTCTCAGAGATGAATATTGCCAATTTGACAATAAGTGATGCCTATATGCCGCACATGCTTTGTCCCAATAGAACAAGCTCATTTCAGTATTTAAATTTTTCTCACAATGCTCTGACAGATGAGTTGTTCCAGAATTGTGGCACTCTCATGGATCTGAAATTACTTATTTTGCAGAAGAATAAATTTGAGAGCCTTTACAAGGTAAGCTTCATGACGAGCCATATGAAATCACTGAAATACCTGGACATGAGCAGCAACCTGCTGCGCCACGATGGAGCCGACGTGCAGTGCCAGTGGGCTGAGTCTCTGACAGAGCTGGACCTGTCCTCCAATCAGTTGGCAGATGCTGTGTTTGAATGCTTGCCCGTCAACATCAAAAAACTCGGCCTACAAAACAATCAGATCAGCAATGTCCCCAGGGGGATCGTGCAGCTGGAATCCCTGCAAGAGCTGAACCTGGCATCCAACAGGCTGGCTGACCTGCCAGGGTGCAGTGGCTTTCCGTCCCTGCAGTTCCTGAACACAGAGATGAATTCGATCCTCACCCCGTCAGCTGAGTTCTTCCGGAGCTGCCCAAGGGTCAGGGAGCTGCAGGCCGGGCACAACCCGTTCAAGTGTTCCTGTGAACTGCAGGCCTTTATCCGCCTGGAGAGGCGGGCAGGGGGGAAGCTGTTCGGCTGGCCGGCGGCGTACGTGTGCGAGTACCCGGAAGGCTTGCGAGGAACGGAGCTCAAGGACTTCCACCTGAGCCTGCTGGCTTGCAACACGACGCTCCTGCTTGTGACAGCTCTGCTGCTAACGCTGGTGCTGGTGGCTGCGGTGGCCTTCCTGTGCATCTACCTGGATGTGCCGTGGTACGTGCGGATGACATGGCAGTGGACGCAGACGAAGCGCAGAGCTTGGCACAGCCCGCCCGGAGATCAGGGGGCCGTTCTGCAATTCCACGCGTTCATTTCCTACAGCGAGCGCGATTCGCTGTGGGTGAAGAACGAGCTGATCCCGAACCTGGAGAAGGGGGAGGGCTGCGTGCGGCTGTGCCAGCACGAGAGGAACTTTATCCCTGGCAAGAGCATTGTGGAGAACATCATCAACTGCATTGAGAAGAGCTACAAGTCGATCTTTGTGTTGTCTCCCAACTTTGTGCAGAGCGAGTGGTGTCACTATGAGCTGTACTTTGCCCATCACAAGTTATTCAGTGAGAATTCCAACAGCTTAATCCTCGTTTTACTGGAGCCTATCCCTCCGTACCTTATCCCTGCCAGGTATCACAAGCTGAAAGCTCTCATGGCAAAGCGCACTTACCTGGAGTGGCCGAAGGAGAGGAGCAAGCGTGCCCTATTCTGGGCTAACCTGAGGGCAGCCATTAACATTAACCTGCCAATATCCAGTGAAGCAAATGAGTGATGCTACACCTGCTAGTAGTATAAGTATGTAAATAACTGACTTGATTATTTTGCATTAAACTCTGTTAATTTTTTTTTCTATTTTCTTACAATATTCCCAGTTTGTTACAAAATGTGGTACATATAGAAATTGCTATTGCTTATTTAAGCCATCCAAGTAGTCAGAGGTCATCTGTAGTTGCCCTTCATCAACAAAGAATGAGAGAGAAATTTTCAATGTTTGACCTTATTTTTAGGTTGCATTTGTTTTGGACTTTTCCCATTGAAAGCTATATTTGAAAGTAACAAGAATAGTGACTGGTTTAGTGTAATCAGGCTGCCAAGGCATACATTTAATCTTTGTTCTGATATGAATACTGTGAGGTTAAGAATGTAGGGATGTGCTTTCTTGGTTTTAATAAAGTAACATAAAGAAGAAAACTCTTGTTTGAATCCTATCCAGTACATTAGAATAGTAGATGTCAAGAGTACAGTATCTGCACTCTTTTAGCTTATTTTCCCTTCCTGCAAGTCTTTCCCTTCATCACAGAGAGACTTCCTTGGGTGAATGCTGAAAAGTTGAATCCATTAATCCTTGTTTGATGGTCTTCTTCCTTTGCTGTATTTAACATTACTACTTGCATTATCTACATTATCTAACATTATCTACAGATAGATACCTGCCAAGTCATGATTTCATAGGATTTGCTATTCACTGTCTTCAAATTCATAGTTAATACTATGTACTTATTATTTTTTATAGTTTTGTAATATTGCTGCTTTCTGCTGTGATTCTATCAAGCTATACCAGGCTGCATGTTTTTTCTGTTTCCTAATACTCAGAAACTTGATGTTTGGAGGTGAACCCTCTTTTATCTCCAGGCTTCCACTGAACTCTGTTACCTTGCTCATTTAATTAGCAGGTGTTGAGGGTCATCACACAGCTGAAAAAAGAGTAATTTTCCCTTGGAAATAACTTACCTGCTAAAATCTTACTGATTAAACTAATGGTGTTTGTTAGTAGGAGACATCTGGTAACCTGCTGTGCTTAGATTAGATTTGAGAGTCTAATAAACATCTCATTCTTTATCAGTTATTAAATGTCATGTGTCATTTCATTGGTGATGTGGAGTTGTGTCATTATACTTACAGCTTAATGGAAATGTAAAGTCCTGTGATCATAACTGTGAGCAGCAAATGAGGTGATCAGACTGGTAAGAGGACGTGATCCTTAATGCTCACTGAGGTGGCTCACCAGCACACACCAGCTGTGGTAGCTAGATGAAACAGTGAAATTGAAGCTGTGGGAGAGCTTCCTGGTGTCCAGAGATGCCAAGACATATTGCATCTCACCAGAGCTTGTCTGGCTCTATCACTTCGGCCTGCGACAGGAGTGGGTCACACCCCAGGAGCAGGATGACCCGAGGTGTGACTAGAGCACTTGCTCTATGGCTTTTTGGCTGTCAGTCTGAGCTCTGAGGAGACAAGGACGAGAGGGAGGTCTTTTGCATGGGATAATAGAGGATTTATTGCTCTGGGGAATCTTGGCGGCAAAAGACAGAAAATGTGAGAGCGTGCAACAGCTGAAACAGGGAGGCGATTCAAAGGGAGGGTACAAAGCATCAGCTAATCAGAGATGTCCCGGGGAGGGCAAAAGGTGGGGTTCACAAAATCATCATCCAGTGAGGGAGGTGAGGGGGAAATTGGGTCACATGGACTAATCAAGCCTCGAAGTTTAGGGGATTTCTGAAGTGGAATTCCAAGCGTGCGGTGGGCCTAAGGTAGGATTGACAGGAGACTCAGGGTAGATTGACAACGTGGGGTGGGAGGGTCTCATTTGGACCAAACCATCAACTTAGAACATACCATTAACAAAACACACTGCAACAAAGACACTGCTGGCTCCCACCTACCAGTTCAGGCTAACTGGATAGGATTACAGTAGGATGCCAGGTGCCTGGCTCCTGAGCTTTGGAAAGAAGAGCTAAAATCTCCATTAAATCTTAATTATCACTCAATTATTTCCACACTCATTAAATCTGTATCTCTCCAACTTAGAGAGGAGGATGTTGTGGGGGAATATGTCAAAGCCTTACCCAGAAATTAAGATTTTGTAGGGATTAGGGATGCTGCTGGCTGAGAGGTTGGACATGACCCAGCCATGGGCACTCACAGCCCAGAGAGCCAAACGTGTCCTGGGCTGCATCCAGAGCACCGTGGGCAGCAGGGCCAGGGAGGGGATTCTGTCCCTCTGCTCTGCTCTGCTGAGACCCCACCTGCAGGGCTGCATCAGCTCTGGGGTCCCAGCGTAAGAAGAATGTGGACCTGTTGGAGCAAGCCCAGAGGAGGCCACAAAGATGATCAGAAGGCTGGAGCACCTCTTCTATTAGGACAGACTGAGAGAGCTGGGGTTGTTCAGCCTGCAGAAGAGAAGGCTCCATGGAGGCCTTTCAGTACTCACATAGGGCTTGTAAGAAAGATGCAGACAGACTTTTTAGCAGGACCTGTTGTGATAAGTGAAGGGGTACTGGTTATAAACTAAAAGAGGGCTGATTTAGGTTGCATATAAGCAATAATTTTCTATAGTGAGGGTGGTGAAACACTGGAAGAGATGGTCCAAAAACATTGTGAATGTCCCATCCCTGGAAACATTCAAGGTCAGGTTTGGAAGGGCTCTGAGTGATCTGATTTAGTTGAAGATGTCCCTGCTCATTGCAGGGAGTTGAACTAGATGACCTTTATGAGTCCCTTCCAACCCAAGCCATTTTATGATTCTATGATTTTACCTCTCTAGCACTTCTTGACACTTTAAAGTGGGGAATGCTACCAAGAAACTCTGTGCACCTTCTTCCTGAAAGCCTTCTCCCCCTCCCAGACATTACAGCCTAAGGACATGATTAGCAGTCACACTTAGTGCTAATGGGCTAAAGGGCCCATAGTCTATCTTTTTTACTAGACAAGAAAACAGGAAGTAGAATTTCTTAATTCAGGTTTTCTGGTCTCTGTAAATTTAATGCATCAGCAAACTGGGAGTTATGTCCTAAGTAATGCACAGACTGGGCCATGGAGGATCCCTCATCTTTAAGACTGCTCTGAAATGTAAGTTTTAGGTGGGTGTGAAAGAAATTGTTTCTCAAGTCTGCCATGTATATTGTTTTGGAATATTAATGTTGTAAGAGCCCTTTATACTCTGTCCTTTCTACCTTGCAGATCTTTCGTGCACATGCCAAATTATTTCAGTTATTTACATATCATACCATAAGCTACAGCTTCTTAAAATACACTTTTGAGTTTCTTTGATAGAGCAGACTCGTTTTGTTGTGGTGTGTTGGTTGGTTTTCTTTTTTAAGTAAGCATTTGACAACATTTCTTATCAAGCAACATTGTGTATTGCCTTAGTTAGTGTTCAGTCAGGCCAGAATTTTAATTGTAAAAGATACATTTAAAGTGTTTTTATGACAAAAAATTACAGTAAAGACACAGAGATCAGTTTTAAATCCTTGAGCAGACTTCTGTGTATGACAGGATTAAACTCAGTGATAGCAAATAAGACAGACAGAACAGCTTAATTTCTCAAGTATGAGAAAATTAACGTTACCTTAAATCCAGTGAATTTAAATTTTGCCTTTTTCTCAGACTAAGAGGGACGCCCAGTGGCCATTGAAATTATCACTGCTTCCTGAAAGTGATCACTCAGTCTAGAACGTATGCAATGCTTTTTGACTCATAGGAAACCAGATAAATCTTATCAGCACAGCAACTGGAGTAGCCTCTTGCAGGTGTGCGGGCTCCGGAGGACAGGTCAGGACGAGCTCTTCCCTGTGACAGCTGCCACGCTGGGTCAGTGGCCATGACTCCCCCATGCCATTGGTCCCTCCTGCCTAAACCTTAGAAATCAGCAGCCTGATATGAGCTTTGCAACATGCAGTCCTTATTTTCAAGCAGGAGACCAAGAAATTCAAGCCAGTCATTTTCTCGTATGCCGATTGCCGTTTGCAGGCTTTTATTTTTATGCCTCATTTCTGCTGTACTGCTTTCCCTTCTGTACATCACCATGGCATACCACAGGTACTCACCAGGCTGATCTGCAAGATCCCAGGCAGTGAGAAACCAACATCCTGATGCAAATACTTCAGCAGAAATGAAGTGTTAGAGATGCATAGTGAATTCGGCCAGGCTCCCCCTTCTCAGGCATCTGATAAGGTGTGAAGAAATAAAACCCCTTTCTTCATCTCTAATCATCATCATCATCTCTCAGCACAGCCTGCAGGTGTGTCTGGAGGTGCACAAGACTCACATGGAGATGTGTCAGCAGCCTCTGGCACCCCAGCCTGGGAGAGGCTGTGGGGCAGAGCCTGGCACCAGGAGCAGGCCCAGGCAGTCATCTTGTGAGCGATAAAAAAGGCAAACTCACATGTTTGGTGCTCCACACCTGCCTATGGGCTAATTAGAATGCCCTACTTAGAAGTGAGTAAAACATTTTTATAAGCTTGCCACTAAGTGTGGTGCTCCTCCAGCACAAATTCCTTGTGCTCCTGCCCTGGGTCCCTTGGCAGGAGGCCACACGGGAGGTGGCCACAGGCTGGGCAGAAGGGCCACCCAAACGTCCAGAGCCACAGGGGTCTCCTCCAGGCTGCCTCCGACCCCAGCGCGGCATCACTGCTCCTTGTCATCCAGCGCGTGACAACATGACCACCAACAACATTCTGAGTGTTTTATTAACAAGTATAATACATATGCACTGTATACTAAATATATTGAATACACTAAATATACTAAATATAGTATGAGGACTGTACAGTACAAATTTATGTTCACAGTTTGACATGACAAAATGTCATTACTGAATTCCCATTGGACTACCAAAGTAGAAACAGTGAAAGTACATTAAACATTCACATCTTTAGTACGAAAAGATTACCAAAATGTCTCTGTATTTGCAAGTTATAGTAATGCACGCTAGAAACCTTTAATTAGCCATTTCGTCTTATTAGCTTATAAAATATATTACATTTTATTTTAAAAATTCTGCATAGTTTATAGAAGTATTAAAGTAAATAAAAATCCTTGCTATATTTGCAGGTGAGAGATGCTAAGCAAAAAGATTATTTTGACCTTCTAAAGTACATTAAGTGCTAGTATCTGTAAAATATAATGAAAACTGGTGTAGCCCTCTTAAGAGATGTAAAATGCTTTGTAAATTTTTTAGAAAGGATTTGTATTCATCTATATGTTGCTAACCTTGACAGAGACGACATATTTGAACAAGATGTGGCATTAGAGGTATCACTGCAGAATGCTGCGTCTATATTTAAATAAACTACACACATTAATACCTGCTTAGTTTCTTGCAATTGTATTAGAAACTAGTAATTTATTATAATCAAATGGCTTAAGCAGGCACATTTTAGTAAAACAGTATTACTGCTACACACTGCACAGTTCAATACTGTTAGGAAGAAAAGGGGGGGTTTACATATTCTGCAGGATTAGGATTTTCTATCTGAACTGGCTATTCTTTAGGGTATAGATGGAATGACTGGTTTTGTAAAGTATTTAATTGAGTATATTTAAAAATTGCAAGGTATCCCTCAAGCCCAAAGCTTGTTAAAATGAACCAATGAGCTGGTTAAGATGTAAATTTACATTCAGCTAAAAGTGTATTTGTTTGTGACTTTTTAGACATCCCACAAAGACACCATAGACAAATGAAAAATCCTACAAGGAAGGCTTCATCATGTAATAATATCAAATACTTATATTTAATATTTAAATTTGTTGTCCTAATTCGCAAGACACATGGATGAAATTTGAAAGTTCCACTCAATCTCCACTGTATTTGACCCCATCATTAGCATAAATATTTTCAGGAAAAAGGTACATAAGATAATGAATTAACATGACAAATAACCTAGACTAAATTATCTGAAGTAACTCTTAGTTACAAAGAAGTTCTGCTTTTAGGTTTTAAAAAATA